GATCAAAAGTGTTCCGAAGATCTGTTGCACGACACTGTGAATGTACTTTCATTTGTTGTTACTTTTTAAAAATATTTCTTATTTATTTCTAGGAGAGAGAGAGAGAGAGAGACAGCGTGAGCAGGGGAGGGTCAGGGAGAGAGGGAGTCACAGACTGAAACAGGCTCCAGGCTCTGAGCTGGCAGTCAGCACAGGGCCCGCCGCGGGGCTCGAACCCACGAACCGCAAGATCATGACCTAAGCGAAAGTCGGACGCTTAGCCGACTAAGCCACCCAGGCGCCCCTCATTTGTTGTTATTTTTTAAATGTTTATTTATTTATATTTGGGGGAGAGAGGGAGAGAGAGTGGGGGGAGAGGGAGAGAGAGAGAGAATCCCAAGCAGGCTCTGCACTGTTAGTGCAGAGCCCAATGAGGGCTTTTATTTTATGAAATACCTACTCATTAGTGCCTGTTTGCTGTAACTGAAAGAAATCGGAAGGGTTAGCGTCTGTTCCGTAGCGAGTCCCTGTAGATGCGGCGTGAGTCCTGGGCAGTGGGAGTGGAAGTGGCAGCCCCTCCTCTAAGAACCACACTCAGGATGGCAGCCTCAAGCCACCAGAGCCCTGGCCTGTGGCTGTGAGCATCTGTGTTTGATTTCGATGGATTGATCGGTTGGTTGATTGATTGGGTCATTCATTCCATGAGCAAGATGTGTCCTGGGGTCCCCCCAGGCGCCTCAGTCAGTGAAGCACCCAACTTCAGCTCAGGTCATGATCTCCCAGTCTGTGGGTTCGAGCCCCGAGTCGGGCTCTGCGCTGACAGTGTGGAGCCTGCCGGAGATTCTCTTTTTCCTTCTCTCCGTGTCCCTCCCCTATTTGTGCACATGGTCTCTTTCTCTCTACTTCTCTTTCTCAAAAATAAACAAATAAACATTAAAAAAAAAAAAACCCAAGATGTGTCCTAAGATATCAGAAAAGCCCAAGAGGATATTGTAGGGAGTCTGGGAATGCTAAAAATTTTTTCCATATAAATTAATGGTAATTACTTCCTTGCCATTTCGGCTTACTAAAGGCTTCATAGAAAAGCTCTACTTTCAGATAACAGCAGAAACGTGTAGTTGATGTGTACACGGGGTGTAAGGAGTCATGGCAGTGTCTGCCTCCACCTCCCCTTTCACACACCCCCGGTTCCCTCCCCAGGATGCCCAAGTATCAATTTCTTGCTTTTCCTTCTTGAGATATTTTCTGCATTTGCCAACACATTTGTGTTTCTTTCCTTCTTGAACATTTGCTTTTCAGTCCGTAACTTCTTCCACATGGGATTTCTTTTCTATTCTTTTAAAATATATATTTGTTTCTTTGCCTATTTATTTAATGTTTTATTTATTTCTGAGGGGGGGGGCAGCGTGAGCAGGAGAGGGTCAGAGAGAGAGGGAGATACAGAATCGGAAGCAGGCTCCAGGCTCTGAGCTGTCAGCACAGAGCCCGACATGGGGCTTGAACCCATGAACTGTGAGATCATGACCTGAGCCGAAGTTGGACGCTTAGCCCACTGAGCCACACAGGCGCTCTTACTTATTTATTTTTAAAATAAAACTCTATCCTGGACTTGAGGTTCAAACTTACCACCCAAAGATCAAGGGCTGCATGCTTTAGTGACTGAGCCAGCCACCAGGAGCCCCTCATTTCTCTTTTCTTTCTTTGATAAAATGTGCTAATATAAAATCACTTAAACCATTTTATTTATTTTTTAAAAATTTGATATATATATATATTTTTACAAATAGTTTATTGTCAAATTAGTTTCCACATAACACTCAGTGCTCATCCCCACAAGTGCCCTCCTCCATGCCCATCCCCCCTCCCCCCCGCATCCATCAGTCCTCAGTTTTTGTCAGCATTCAAGAGTCTCTCATGGTTTGCCTCTCTCCCCCTCCCCCACCATTTCCCCCCTTCTTCTCCCCCTTGTTCCTCAGTTAAGTTCCTCCTAATCCTCCTATACGTGCAAACATATGATATTTGTCCTTCTCTGTCTGACTTATTTCGCTCAGCATAACACCCTCAAGGTCCATCCATGTGGCTACACATGGCCAGATTTCATTCTTTCTCATTGCCATGGAGTATTCCATGGTATAGATAAACCACGTCTTCTTGATCCATTCGTCCGTTGATGGACACTTAGGCTCTTTCCATGTTTTAGCTATTGTTGAGAGTGCTGCTATGAACTAAACCATTTTATTAAAAAAATTTTTTAATGCTTATTTTTGAGAGAGAGAGGAAGGGAGGGACAGATTGCAAGTGGGGGAGGGGCAGAGAGAGAGGGAGACAGACTCTGAAACAGGCTCCAGGCTCTGAGCTATTGGCACAGAGCCCAATGCGGGGCTCAAACCCACAAACCATGAGATCATGACCTAAGCCGAAGTCTGATGCTTAACCGGCTTAGCCACCCAGGCGCCCCAACTTACACCATTTTAAAGTGTACAATTCCTTGGCACTAAATACATTCACCACGTTGTACAACCAACACCTCTGTCTAGTCCCAGAAATCATTGCCCCAAAATGCAACCCCATCCCCATTAGCCATCAGTCCCTCATCCCCCTCCCCCAGCCCCTGGCAAGCATTCATCTGCTCTCTGTTGTCTCTGCACTTGTCTGTTCTCGGGATTTCTTATTTATTCATGTATTTATTTTTAAAGTTTTGAGAGAGAGCGTGAGCAGGGGAGGGGCAGAGAGAGGGAGAGAGAATTCCGAGAGCAGGCTCCCTTCCATCAGCACAGAGCTGTTCCAGGTGTTTCTTTCAAGTGGACTCATACGCTCTGCGGCCTTTGTAACCGGCTTCCTTCACCAGGCGCGATGTTTTCAAGGCTCCCCCACGCACGGACCAGTACTTCATTCCTTTTCATGGCTGAGTAATATTCCACTGCGTGGCTGGACCAGCTTTGTCTCCCCGTTCGTCTGCCGATGGATTGATGAGCATTTGGTTGTTTGTCCAAACCTTTGGGCAACTGAATACAGTTGTCATGAACAATCATGGACAAGTATTTGTTTGAAGACCCATTTTCAACTATTTTGGGTTTATGCTTAGGAGTGGAATTGCTGGCCCTACGATAACTACGTTTAACTTCCTGAGGAACTGCCGAGCTTTTCCACGGCAGCGCTTTGCGGCTTGGCTTCCCAATGGAACTATCTCCCCCTCCTCTTTTTTTTTTTTTTTCAAAAATTTTAATGTTTTATTTATTTCTAGGAGAGAGAGAGAGAGAGAGAGAGAGAGAGAGAGACAGCGTGAGCAGGGGAAGGCCAGAGAGAGAGAGAGTCACAGACTCTGAAACAGGCTCAAGGCTCTGAGCTGGCAGTCAGCACAGAGCCCGACGCGGGGCTCGAACCCATGAACCGCAAGATCATGACCTGAGCGAAAGTCAGACGTTTAACCGACTAAGCCACCCGGGCGCCCCTCCCCCCCCCTTTTTAAGGAGCCCCCCATTTCTCCCTGCCCCTTCATGTATCCCCCCGTGGACACTGTGGTGCTGCTGGCCCTTCCCCGCCCCCACTCTCTCAGCGGTACTGTGTGACTCAGTTTCTCCCCATCGGCGCTGACTCTGGGTGCTCTCCAGGTTTCCTTCCTTTTGTAGCGGGATGCGGGGAAACGATGTGGCTTCCCTCCCTTCCCGACTCTGGCTTCTAGCAACACGTGCAGACACGTATAACATGTTTGAGTCATGAAACATGATCGTCGGGAGATTTCTGGTCTGTTCCCTTTCCCTCTTGGCTCGGGTCTTGCTCCCACAGCTGGTGCAAGCCGGCTCTCAGATTTTCTGAATTCTACCTGGAGCTGCCAAAGACCAAAAATAGCCACTGGGTATGTGACCTCTGGTCTGAGCTTGCAAATCGGGGCTCCAGGCCAGTCCAGTGAGCTCTTCCCTGGGTATTCTGAGCCTGGGGCCACAGGCAGATGGCCTTTGAGTCAGCATCCCAGCTAATCCGGGGCCAAGGCGGCTTGGAATGAGACGCCAGCGACCCAGGTCCAAAGTCTAGCCCTGTTTCCTGATGATGGGGCCAGAAACTCAGCTTTCTTCTTCTGCCAGTGTTTGGAGAAATCCTGGTCTCTTGACGATCGTTAGTGGGCCACCTACAGTCTGCCAGGCATATACTGGGTGCAGGGACATGGCTGTTAATGGAGGCAGGGCCCTGACCTGGAAGTTCTAATCCTTATGTTAGAAGAAATGGGAAATAAATCAGGAAAGTAGAGTTTATCATGGAGAGTGAGCAAGCATGCTCACAGAGGGTGAGGGGCCGGGTGGGCGATCTCAGCCAGGGAGGGTTAAGAGACCACCTAGGAGGAGGTGAAGGGCAGCTGGCTCCTGAAGGAAGAGAAGCAGCTAGCATCGCAGATACAGGGCATGGTCCAGGCAGAAGGGAACAGTAAATGCAAAGGCCCTGGGGTGGGACTCTGCTAGGCCCCTGGAGGGCTGGGGGGGCTAGAAGTGGGGTGAGTGGTGAGGAGATGGAGAGAGAAGCCAACGTCGGTGGAGCCACATCACCTTCTTTCTTGGCAACACAGGAGCCTGCAGAGGACCTTCGGGCGCCGCCGCGCTGTGGTGCTGGACTTTCTTTATTCCGTTCGCCCTCAGCCTCCTGGCCCGCAGGGGGCTTCTGCGACTCCAGGAGGCTGTAGTCAGCAGCCTTAGGATCCAGGCTTCAGTTTCCTCCTCCGTGAAACGTAGCGAATAACAGTCTTACAGGCAGGTGGCGGGGAGGGGGCCCAGACAGGTCACAGCAGTGAGCAGACAGCGGCGCCCAGTGAGTTCAAGCGGCCACTCCGCACGGGCCGAACTGTCCCCATCACGCAGGTGGGGAAACTGAGGTTGGGGGAGGCACGGAGTTGGGCTTTCCCAGGGTGAGCGTCCGGGCCTGGGCGCGCACGCAGCGTCTAGGACCCGGGGGCGCGCACGCTGAGCGGCCCGGCCGGGGGGCGGGGCCGGGGCGGGGCCGGGGGCGGGGCGGCGCGGGATCCGGGCGGCGGGGCCAGCCGCGGCTGCGGACTCGCCAGTCCCGGCAGGAGCGGGTCAGAGTCGCAGCCTGAGCCCGCCATGGAGCAGCCCAGGAAGGCGGTGGTGGTGACGGGTAGGCTGATGGGGCCGCGGGCAGGGGCGGGTCGGGCGGCTCCAGAGCCGGCGGGGTCGGCAGGGGCGCGGTGGCCGGGCGGGGCAAGTACTAGAAGTCGTCTTAGGCTTGGAAGATGTCATCGCCCAGTCAGTCCGCGCAACACGTAGAAAGTGAAGAAGGCGCGCCCCTGTGTTCCCGCTGTCAGGGGTCGGGGCGGGCAAGGGCGTGGGGGTCGGGTCAAGTGCCCAGCGCGGAGCAGGCCCCTCGGACGTCCTTCCTTCCCCGGGTGAGGGCAGTGGCCCTCTGGGCACCTGTCTTCTGTCTGCCCGGCTGGTGGGCAGGACCAGACTTATCCCTGCCCCTCCCGACGTCGGGCCGGTTCCTCACCCACGGTCCCAGGGGACAAAGGCCAATTTGCGGGCAGGAAGTGCCCCAGTGACAAATGAACCTCCTGCCAGCCCCTGCTCCCCCAGCCTTGCGCTAACAGGGGGCTGCTCTCCTGAGGCAAGAGCAGGTGGAGGTCGGGGGCGGGGGTCGGGGGTCGGGGGAACCACGAGCCGGGGAGCTGCTCTCTCTGTTGTCGCCAGGACCGGCCGAGTCAAAATCTTTTCGCCCCGGGCTGTTTATGGGTGAGCCCTTCCCCGCTGTCACCAACTCCTGAAACTAACTGTTCCTCCTCCGGGAGACTCCGCCTCAGGGCCACGTGGGCGTCAACTTCCGCCCGGCCTCTGGTTGGGGGGTCATTTTGACCGGCCGGCTGGAGGGGTCAGAGTAGGAGATGCAACGGAGGTTCACGCAAGTGTTTTGTGGACCCGGGAGGGTGAGGCTGGTCCTGGAATTCTCAGGAAGGTAGACGAAGGCACTCACTCAACAGATGTGTGTAATTCGGTCGGGGGTCGCTGCTCCCCACCCTCCCCACACGCGCAGCCCTCCTGTATCTGGTTATTTGTTCCTCTAGTGTCCAGGCAGCCACCAGCCTGGACTTTTTCCTTGCATGAGTTCATGACATCTTCACCATCTCCATTTGGCAAAGGGAACTGAGGCTTACAGAGGTCACCATTTGTAGGTGGCTGAGCTGGGACTCTTACTTGTCAATGAAGGGGGAGGAAGGGGGTGGAGAAATCCTGCCCCCACTGCGGGGGGGTCGCTGTTCCAGGACACAGCATCCCTCCGGGGGCCTTGACACCACCTGGGACCCTCAGTCTTCTTGGAGATGTTCCTTTTTAGGCAGGGTGACAGGGTGGTTAGGATAGAAGAGCTGTGGACTCTCGTGAACCTGGTTTAAAGTGCCAGCTCTTCTGCCTTCTGGCTGTGTGGCCTGAGGCAGCTGTTTTCACCTCTCTGTTCCTCAGTCTTGCCCCTGTAAAACGGGCCCAGGAAACAGCCTTGGCCGGAAGGGGCTGCAGTGAGGCTGAAGGCCACAGTGCCCAGAACACTTGGCACGTGACTCTCAGGTGACTCTTGGTTTGTAAGTGGGGCCTGGAGTTGGAGCAAGTGGACAGCCTGGCATGGGAGACACCCACATGCGTCCCTGAAGGGCCACTCCTTACTTCGCGGTGCTGCCCGGAGCACACAGACGAAGACAGTGATAAAGTAATTGTAGCTGGGGGTCAGGGATACAGGCCAGCCCTTTCTGGGGCAAAAGGTGGCCTCTGACCCCTCGCTGGGCACAAGAGCCAGGTGAAGGTGAAGACAGGAAAGGACAGTTAAGAGCAGAGAAAGAAGGGGTGCTCTAAAGGTCCCTGGGTGCACCCAAGAACACAGGACCAGGCCCCTGACGTCGTCCCAGGTGGGAGGTGCTCTAAGATCCCTGTTCTCCCAGCTGGGGCAGCAGCCTGTCCCTGGGCGGGCTAGCAAAGATCACTGGGTACTGATATGCTGACTTTACGGGTTTTTTTGTTTGTTTTTTGCAGGGTTTGGCCCTTTTGGGGAACACACTGTGAACGCCAGCTGGATTGCAGTCCAGGTAACTCAGGTCTGGAGGGTCGGAATCAGGCTTGGGGCTGGGCTTCCCCTGGAAACATATGGCACCAAAGAAGGAAAGGAGTCTCCGCGGAGAACATCTCCCTCGAAGCTTCCTGCAAAACGTTTGTGTCTGAAATACACTTCTTTCCAGATGGTAACTGCTGTACCCTGCACCTGTCAGCTTGCTCTGCACCAAGCACTCTGAGTTTCCCCCACCGCCCTTGCATGGCTGGGGGGCATGTATTCTTGTGCCCACTTTACTGGTGAGGCAACTGATGAGGCCCAGAGAGAGTTATGTGAGGTCACACAGCGAGGAAACAAGAATGGCATTGCCTCAAAAGTGCCCCGTGCCCCAGCCAGGTTTGGGGGTGACCAGGCAGGGATGCAGGGGGGGAATGTGTTAACCTTGCAGAGGGAATATAATGACCTTGACTGTTGCCTCCCAGCAGCTGGGGGAGGAGAAGGCTGGATATTGGGGGGATGGGGGGTGTCTTTCCCACTGTCCTGAACAGGTTACTAGCCTGCAAGCTTTACAGTTTCTTTGTCAGATGGGGCATTTGGAGAGATAGACGGGGAACAATGGGGAGAGAGGAAGAGAGAACCGCTTTCTCCTTATATAAATCAGATCTGCATAGACCGCAGCCAGACTCGTGTTAATCCTAGCCCATTAGCTGCTTGATTTAAAGCATCCCTTGCTTTTCACTCCAGAGCCCTGCATTTGGAGAAAAAAATCCAAATTAAAAAACCCCAAAGCATCAACTCCTAGTCGGGGGCCCCCCGCCTTTTATGTCACCCCTCGTACAGACCTCAGAATCCTGGCTACTTTCCTTTTTAAAACAAACAAACAAACAAACAAACAAATGTTTGCCCCACCTTCTGAGCGGGACAGAGGGACGGGGTCCCCGGGACCCTGCAGAGGGAAGCGTGTCCGGGCCTCCGCCCGTTGCACCCGCTCCCTGGAGCCCCAGACAAAAAGGAAACAGCGTGTTTCTGAAAACGTTGTGTGTCTGGCTTTGTGCGAGTTTCAGACAGGAGCCTTCACGGGGCTGAGTGGACACAAAGCCGTGTGTCTGAATTCCTGGGCCCCAGACACTATGATCTGCATCTAAATAGGAGAAAAATCAATTAAACAATCTTTGGAAATCCCACCGAGGCTTTGGGATGCGGATGGTGGAGGATGGCAGCTTTTCATCCTGCTGCTGGAGGCGAAGCACCCCTGATACTTGGGTTGCCCAACTCACCAGACCTCGCCTCCGGAAGACTTTTTGCTTTTCTTCCTCGAGCTTATGAAACCAGAAGAGAGGATTCTCCACCATTCCCTGGATAAACCACAAAACAAAACAAAATATTGTAGTTGCTCATACCTACTTTGAATGTGGTCAGTATAGCTCTGTGAAATTTTACGCATGTGCACCTTCGTGTCACCCCCGTCTGGATCAGGGTCTAGAACATTCCTGGCCCCTTTCTCTTCGCAGAAGAGCCTTGTGCCCCTTCCTCACTATTCCCCCCCAGGTGTAAACTGCTCTGCTGACTTTTTTTCCCTGCCGCCGTGGGTGATGCCTGTTCTAGAACTTGGTGTCAATGGACTTGCGCTTGCCCCTGGTGCCTTGTGTGCAGCACAGTGTCTGCGGGCTCCTTCCGTGGGGTTGCTGGGAGCTCCCCTTGGTGTGTCTAAGTTGACCTGACTAAAACGGATTTGCCCGTGAAGAGGATGTCCCGTGGGGTGGGTGGAATCCATCCCTCCAGAAAATGGGCCTCGGAATGTCCTTGCTGTGATCTGCACCTGAGTTCTGAGTTCTGGCAGCAGTAGGCGTCAGTCCCCTTGAGCTGAAGATGGGACTTTTGTCACCCAGGGTGAGCAGCAATTAGTGTCCTGTCCCTACTGACTTCTCAGAAGCCCGAGCTGTCATCTAGAAAGAATCCCCCGTCTCTCAGGGACCAGCTAACTTCTCTCGTCTCTTGCCTTCTCTTTATCTGTCTCTGTGTCTCTGTCTCTCAGACTCCCTCTGGTCTCTCTCTCTTCCCCCTTAGGTCTCTGTCTCTCCATTTCTGTCTCTCTCTCTCTCCCTCCTTGTGTCTCTCTCTTTCAGTTTCGTTTGATCTTTCTGTGGGTCTCTCTCTTTTCCTGTCTCTCTCCCCTTAAGGCTCCATCTCTCTCTCTCTGTCCATCTCTCTGTGCCTCTGTCTTTCGCTCTCTTCTCACGCCTGTTCCCCCCACCTCCTCTGTCCCTCTCTTTTGTCTGATCTTCCTTCTTCATGCCTTGGGTGAACTTGTGCTCTAGTGGAGAGTGATCTGTTTCCCACAAGGCACAGCGGGGAGGTGGGAGTGCTGGGGACGGAGGGCACCCCCTTTTTTTGCCTCGCCCCAGGGTGGCCCTGCCCCTCAGCACCTCTCACAGAAGGGACTTTATTTTTGGAGTGTCCGCCCCTCCTCCCCCCCCCCCAGGTCTAGGGTGGCGGGTGTGGGACACTGGCTGCAGGTGTCTCTCTTCCTAGGAGGCTCAGGTGGGTGTCAAGGGCCGGGACCCCCTTGGCTTGGGGCCGTCTGGAGTGTCCCTTGCCCAAGCGCCGTGAGGAGGAGCTGGGTCACAGGTCCTGGTGACATCACGGGACAATTACTGCCACAGTGAGTCTAGACAGACCTGCTAAGGATATTAACCAGGGAACAAAGGGGCTCTTTGTTGTGGGGTCAAGGGAATCGGTCAGATGCGGCCTCGCGGCGGGGTCTTGTCAGGTAGATTGGGGTGTAGACAATGCGCCGTCTGGGGCGCGGGGAGCCCTGTTCCTTCCACGGGCGTGTGCTTGGCGGCCACGCTCACTGCAGTGTCGTGGGACTTGGGGTGTGCTTGCCGCTCCCCTCCTCCCCCAGGAGGATTGTCCAGCCCTGTTGGAACAGAAAGTGTCCAGAGGCAAGGCGTTCAGCCAGATTCCAGGCCACCCACTTCTGATAACTCCGCAGGGGCCTCATAGCCGCCCCTTCCCCTCCGTTGCCCTGTTTAAAATTGGGGAGCAATTGGCATAAAGCGACCCCACAGATCTTCAGTGCCCCTAATGCTTCAGTGAAGAGTACTTAGCCGGGTCCAGGATATTTCAGTGAAGATAGTGACCCATTTCCATCAACCCGGAATGTTCCCTCCAGCTGGATCCCTTCCCGACCACTCTCCACCCTGCCCTGGAGGCGGCAGCTGTCTTGACCACAGTCACCTTACAGGAGGTTCTGGCCAGCCTCACACTGGCGAATGAACAAGACGCCACAGCCTCTGTGTCCCCCGTGGGCCAGCTGCCTTTGCTTAGCCTGAGCTGGTGGGAGGAGGGACATCGGGCTCTTTTCCCTACTCACCCCCTCTTCCACCTTGGCACTGGGGGGCTTCAGGGTTTGCTCCCTAATAGTGAAACAGCAGGGGCCCTGTGGAGGGGCGGGTGGTGGTGATGGCGGTATATTTTTGGTGGAAGCTTTCCTTTTTTTTTTTTTTTATTTTTATTTTTAAAAAATATTTATTTTTGAGAGAGAGAGAGGCAGCATGAGTAGGGAGGGTCAGAGAGAGAGGGAGATACAGAATCTGAAGACAGGATCCAGGCTCTGAGCTGTCAGCACAGAGCCCAACGCGGGGCTCTAACCCACAAACCGTGAGATCATGACCTGAGCAGAAGCTGGATGCTCAACTGCCTGAGGCACCAGGCGCCCCTGATGGAAGCTTCTTAGTTTAGACTTTTCCCCCAGATGAAGGTGGAGGGGGGGCAGGGGAGGACCCAGAGCACATGAGGAACAAAGATTAGGACAAAAAGGTCACTCGCAGGGCACTTGGCTGGCTTAGTCAGTAAAGCATGTGACTCTTTATTTCAGGGTTGTGAGTTCGAGCCCCACGTTGGGCATGTAGCCTCCTTAAAAAAAAAAAAAAAAAAAAAAAAAAAACCTGAGAAAAGAAGGAGGTGACTCATTCCATGGCTTCCTGGTGCTGCCAGCTCCCTTCCTACCACCGAGAACTGATAGGGGCATGTGGCCACCCCACTAAGGCTCATGCAACATCACCCTATGGAGACAAGCCTTGAGTTGATCTGGGCAAGTGACGTTGCTCAGCACATAGCGCCCGTTCTGCCGGGCAGAGAGGATCCATAGGGAGGGCCTGGCATTCCAGGCCAGACATGCAGCCTGGGCACACCACAGCCAGGCTGGCCATCCAGAGGGTTTTGGTGTCCCTGAGAAGGTTCTCAGGTTGGTCACTGATCAAGTTAGTATCCTTTGTGCCCCTGCCCACAGAGCTCATTTCCCCAAGTACCGGCGCCTGGGCTTGTGGGTGGCCTGACCTGGGGACAGCAGACTCAGCTGGGGGACAGCTGCCCTCAACGGGAACCAAACAAGTAGAGGTGATTTTTAAAAAAAATTTTTAATGTTTATTTATCTTTGAGAGAGAGACAGAGCACAAGTGGGGAGGGGCAGAGAGCGGGAAACACAGAATCCAAAGCAGGCTCCAGGCTCTGAGTTGTCAGCACAGAGCCCGACGCGGGGCTTGAACCCACAAACAGTGAGATAATGAATGACCTGGGCCGAAGTTCGACGCTCAACTGACCGAGCCACCCAGGTGTCCAGGTGATTTTGTTTTTGAGAGAGAGAGGGCACAAGTGAGGGAGGGGCGGGGGGGGGGAGAGAGAAACAGGGTTTGTGTTCAACTTGAAGTGGCACTTGAGTTCACCTGAAATGGAGCATGAGCTCAATAAAGGTGATTTTTAAATTTTTAAAAATTTAACGTTTTAAAGTTTATTTATTTATTTTGAGAGAGAGCGAGAGCGAGAAAGCGCAAGTAGGGGAGGGGCAGAGACAGGGAGGGAAAATCACAGGCAGACTCCGTACTGTCAGCACAGAGCCCAATGCGGGGCTTGAACTCACAACTACGAGATAACAACCTGAGCCAAAATTGGATGCTTAACAAACTGAGCCACCCAGGGGCCCCTCCTCCATTCTGTTTTCTGTCTGTAATGAATTTGCCAATTCTAGGGATGTCG